GTGTGTGTGTGTGTGTGTGTGTGTGTGTGTGTGTATATTCTCCTGTATGATTTTAACCCCATATATATATGTGTGTGTATGTATAAATTCTCCTATATGATTTTAACCCTATATATATATAAACAATTTCTCCTGTATGATTTTAACCCCTTTGCCTGATGAAGAAGGCGGCAGTGGAGTTTTGAAAGCTTGCAACATATGGTGCATTTTGGTTGATCGATTAAAGCTATCACTGTTTTGTGGGTTTTGGATGATATTGTACTTTGCTATATGACCAACATGGCTAGCCCTGGATATGTTTTCTGGACAAAAAAATTAGTAAAATGACCCCCTGTTAAATTTCTTTTGCTCAGCCTCAAAGGTGCTACAAGATCCCTTTGCATGCTAATACAATGCAGTTATACTTTCCTTGTTGCTGGTGGCATTCATAAGTAATTGCTCATTTTTAACCTGTCGCTTCCCATCTCTTCTGATGAATTCCCCCAAACCCAAACCAAATGACAACATTCTGCTTCCTCTACAATAAATACACTTTACAATATATACACACCTTACTTACTTGGCTTGAACATAGTGACCAGATGTCATAACTGCAAAGGAAGGCAAGGCACCACAAAATGTAGGACGTTTTAAAATGTAGGTCGGATATAGAATCCTGTCATTGGAAAAGACCCCAAGGGCCATCCAGTCCAACCCCATTCTGCCATGCAGGAACTCACAATCAAAGCACCCCTGACAGATGGCCATCCAGCCTCTGTTTAAAGACCTCCAAAGAGGGAGATACCACCACTCTCTGAAGGAGTGTATTCCACTGTCGAACAGCTCTTACTGTCAAGAAGATCTTCCTAATGTTTAGGTGGAAAATCTTTTCCTCTAGCTTGGATCCATTCTTTCAGGTCCTACTCTCTGGAGCAGCAGAAAACAAGCTTGCTCCATCCTTAATATGACATCCCTTCAACTACTTAAATATGGTTGTCATGCCACCTCTTAACCTTCTCTTCTCCAGGCTCACAGACCCAGTTCCCTAAGTCATTCCTCATAGGGCTTTATGGTTTCCAGATCTTCCACCATTTTAGTCGCCTTCCTCTGCACGTGCTCCAGCTTCTCAGCCTACTTTTTTAATCGTGGTGCCCAAAATAACAGCTTAAAAATGCTAATATAAATGGAAATCCATGCTTCTTAGTCATGCTTCAAATGGAAAGTATTTTGAAACCACCCCTCCTGGACGGGAGGTTGAAATGTAGGACCTGTCCTATAAAAGGAGGGCATCTGGTCCCCCTGAGCTTGAATGACATTGAATTGGCTTTGAATACATTTTTGTATCCCTTGTGGGGACAATATGAGTTATCCATAGAACACAACAAGAAAATTTGAAATTTTACTAGGACTCATTGGGCCACCCCCCAAAAAAACCAGTGAAAATAGGGCAACCAGGCATCCTCTTTTTCCAGGACATGTCCTACATTTCAACCTTCCGTCCAGGAGGAATTGAATGAAATTGAAGCAACAAAATACAGCTCATGTCCGTCCCCCACTCAGATTATTCTGTATAATGTTGTTGTTGTGTGCCTTCAGGTGGTTTTCCCCCAATTTATGGCGCTTGTAAGGCGAGATTTGGCAAGATTTGCTCCGAGTGGGGTTAGCATTTGCCTCCCTCTGAGAGAGTGTGACTTGCAGTGGGTTTCCATGGCTGAGTGAGGATTTGAACCCGGGTCCCCAGACTCACAGTCCAAAGCTCAAACACCAGACTGGCTCTATATATGACATGCTGCTGTAAAACCATGCCTATCCTATATGCCAAAGTTTGGAAACTGTTCCAAAAAAGTAATTAGTTCGCCGTTACAGTTCTATGGACCCAAGAAACCAGTTGCATTCTTTTTCCCAAGTAATTTTGCTTTTCTGTTTTGCTGACAAACCAGAAATAGTGACTTAAAGTGAATAAAATATATGGATGTGATGCAACCCGCTGCCCTGTAGTACAAAACATAGTTGGCTCCTCTCCACTTGTTTTATTGCTACAGCCATCAGAATAGAAGACAATTTTCCTTATACCTTGGAATATTCCTCTTTCCACTTCACCAAAGGTTATCAGTCTCAAAGACACCACAGAAATAATCCAGCTTGAAACCGCTTTAACTGCCCTGGCTCGGTCCTAGGAAATCCTGGGAATTGTAGTTTATTGTGGTACCAGAGCTCTCTGACAGAGAAGGCTGAATGTCTCACAAAACTACCGTAGTTCCTAGCACTGAGCCAGGGCAGTTAAAGCGGTCTCAAACTGGATTATTTCTGCAGTGTGTCTTGGACTTTTGTGGGTGGTAAAATTCTCTCTCTGTGCGTGGGCTGTGTGCCTTCAAGTCGTGTCTGAGTTATGGCTACCCAAAGGTGAACCCATCATGGGGTTTTCTCTGCAAGATTTGTTCCCAGGAGGTTTGCCATTGCCTTCCCCTGAGGCTGAGAGAGTGTGGCTTGCCGAAGGTCACATATACATTATACACACATGTTGTTGTTGTGTGCCTTCAGCTTGTTTCCAACTTATGGCGACCCTAAGGCAAAACCTGTCATGGGGTTTTCTTGGCAAGATTTGTTCAGAGGGAGTTTGCCATTTCCTCATACATGTACATATATACATTATACACACATGTTATATATATATATATATATATATATATATATATATATATATATATATATATATATATATATATATATATATATATATATATATATATATATACACACACACACATACATACAGTGGGTTTCATGGCCAAGCTGGGATTCAAACCCTGGTCTCTTGCAGGGTCATAGTCCAACTCTCAAACCACTATGCCACAAATTCCTTGTGCAAGCCTTCCAAATGTAGATGTTTCCTCGACACAGAGGGTTTTTAAAAAAGTCTTGCAGAGAAAAATGGGTATGGCAATGTCATGTAGTCTGCATTTTGTCCTGAGGCTGAGAGAGTGTGACTTGTCTCAGCAGCCAACTATCAAAGTGGGTTCATCATAGGCCAGCTCACAATGGTCTTGAACCCATAGTGAACAACAAAAGCACTCTGCTTCTGCCATCTGATGGCCAAATCCTGCTACTCCAGCAACTATTTCAACCCCTAAAAACATCTAGAGGTATCCAGGTTGGCCATACAGCAAATCCAAAACCATCCAAACAAGGATACCTTTATTGGGCCAACCAAAATGCACAAGTACATGTTGCAAGCTTTCAAAGTCACACTGGCTTCTTCATCAGGCAAACAGTTTCAACTCCTTGTTTGTTACCACCTGGTGGAAAAAAACCCTATAAAACTATGAATAGTTTCATATTCTGTGCCTTCCTTTGCAACTTATGGCAACCCTAAGCAAACCTATCGTGGTGTTTTCTTGGCACATTTTGAGCGGGGGTTTGCCATTGCCATCCTCAGAGGCTGAGAGAGTGTGACTTGCTCAAAGTCACCCAGTGGGTTTATGTGGCCAAGCTGGGATTCAAACTCTGGTCTTTGGAATCCTAGTCCAGCACTCAAACCACTAAGCCACAAGTTTACTGTGCAAATGCAAATGTTTCCTCATCACAGAGGGTTTTTTAAAAAAAACATTTCTTGAAAGGGGTTTGTGATTGCCATCTTCAGAGACTGAGAGAGTGTGACTTGCCCAAAGTCACCCAGTGGCTTTACATGGCCAAGCTGGGATTCGAAGTCTAGTCTTTGGAGTCCTAGTCCAAAGCTCAAACTACTATGCCATACTGGCTCTCATAAATATTAGAAAGTATTTCATGTCCTCTCTTTCTTTTTGTCATAGGGAGAAAATATCTAATTTGTACCATTCCACTTTCCAAACTCTATTTAGCTCTTTGCCCCTTCGTCTGATGGGTTTAAGAACCAGCATAGTATCATGGTTTGAATGCTGGACTATGACTTTGGAGACCAGGGTTTGATTCCCCGCTGAGCCATGGAAACCCATTGGGTGACCTAGGGCAAGTCACATATTCTCAGCCGCACAAACCCCACCTTAGAGTCATTATATGTTGGAACCAACTTGAAGGTACGCAACAACAATGAATGGATTTACACATGACCATATAAAATCTATTTTGATGTTGTTGTGTGTGCTTTCAAGTCACTTCCAACTTCTCTAAGGCAAACCTATCAGGGTTTTCTTGGCAAGATTTGTTCAGAGGAGGTTTGCCATTGCCTTCCCCTGAGGCTGAGAGAGTGTGACTCATCCAAGGTAACTCAGTGGGTTTAATGGCCGGGCTGGGAATTGAACCCTGGTCCCCAGAGCCATAGTCCAACACTGAAACCACTACACCACACTGGCCATCTATACATGGGCTTTAAAATCTACAGGGGTTTTTCAGGTTGTATTTCAGCATGATGGTTGATTTAGTGTTCCTCTTTAGCTTTATTCTTATATTAGTAGCTTATGGTCTGTGCCACAATGGTCTGTGCTTTTGGCCTTTTCCCCCCAAAAAGAAAGGACTTTCTCCAACTTCGGTTTCCAACTATATAATCTATTTGACTTCTGTGCTGGCCATTGGATGATGTCCACGTATACGGTCGTCTCTTTGGTTGAAGAATGTGTTTGCAATGAACAAAGAAGATTAACTGAATAATGAACAAATTAAAGGAAAGCCAGTAAATTTACTAAATTCATCACTGTGTCAAAGAACAGCCCTGCAGAATTTAAAGACAAAAGTAAAGACAGATTTGCATGACCATGGTCCAAAACACACTGCAGAAATAATCCAGTTTGAGACCACTTTAACTGCCCTGGCTCAATGCTAGGGAATTCTGGGAACTCTAGTTTGTCGTGGCACCAAAGATCCCTGACAGAGAAGGCTAAATGTCTCACAAAACTACAGTTCCCAGAATTCCCTAGCATTGAGGCAGGGAAGTTAAAATTGTCTTACATTGGATTTTTCTGCAGCGTGTGTTGGACCTGAGTCTGAATCACAGAGAATCAGAAGAATTCTCGATCAAAATCAGAGGCATTGTCATGAAAGACAATGTAGCCCAAAAGGCTACTGTATGATAGATGAAACTCTTCAAGCAGTTAAGGGTAGACAAGCAGCAAAAACAAAAGGTAGCTGCATCTACACTGCAAAAATAATCCACGCTGATGCCACTTTAACTGCTATGGCTCAATACTATGGAATTCCAGGAATTGTAGTTTTGTGAAACATTTAGCCTTCTCTGTCAGTGAGCTCTGGCGCCACAACTAACCTCAGGGCCTTTGCAGACTGCTAGAAATAGTGCAAATTGACTCCACTT